GAGAGAGAGAGAGAGAGAGAGAGAGAGAGAGAGAGAGAGAGAGAGAGCATTCTCAGGAAGATAAATTTATCTCAGTATCTACTTCTGTCCTACTACCACAGCATCACTGAGAGTGTCCTGACATACTGCATTCTTGTATGGTATGGGACCAGCTCTGTAGCGGACAAAAAAGCTCTACAGAGAATCATTAAAACTGCCCAGAATATCATTGGGCTCCAGCTACCAGCCCTGAATGACATCTTCACATCTCGCTGTTTGAGGAAGTTGCACAACATTCTCAGAGACTCTTCCCATCCTACCTACAATCTTTATGAACTGTTGCCTTCTGGCAGAAGATACAGAACAATTAAAACTCAGACCACACGTTTTCTGAATAGTTTTTATCCCAGAGCTATAATTGCACTTAACAATGAACTTAAGGACCACCATCAGTGAGCTGTTGGATGGTATTACTTGGTCTGTTGTGTGGATACTTGTGTGTTTTTAGAAGGTGGGGAATTTTGGCGGGTGGGGAGGTATTTGGGGATTGTCATGTGTGTGCATGTTGAGTCTGATCTCTGGGTGTTATGTGAATTTTGGTGTATGTATACTGTGTATATACATACAATGACAATAAAGAATTCAATTCAATTCAATTCAAAAGGAGAACAGTGGAGACTTAGTGGGCAACAAGAGGCCTTCTGGCCTACGGCTATTTGACCATCTGTCCAAATCCTAATTGGTTTTGCAAGCCTCTCGTGGACTACAATTGCTGCTAGTTTGGGATTAGTTAGGAATTATATTGGCAATATGGATCTAATATCCTCTTCTTTGCTAGCCATGAGCTAATAGGATTTTCTCTTTGTCTCCAAAGAAATATAAATGACAGTAACATGTCTGTTGCCTACAACTTCAATTCCTGTCCAATCTACATATTTCAATCCCAAAACCTGTCCTTCAGTGCTCTTAATACCTGCTTGTCCAGGGCAAAAGGAAATAAATTATTTTGTTGACTTCAAGAACTGGATTACAACTAAGTATGGAATTAATAATGTTATTTTCTATCAAATGAGAGAGTTTTTATGAATAAGTAATAGAGAAAGCTTGTTCCATATTGGGATCCTTGACATGATGAATAGAAACACTTTAATCTCCCCCCACCATACATTTCATTAGAATCTATTTCTAGCAAGCCAAAGGCCACCAGTCAAACTTAATCAAGTGGATGTTTTCAACAGAAACATCAAGATGGAATTTGTTGCAAACATTTGCCTTCTCCTGCAACTGTGCGTTATAGAATGTCAAAATGGTCATTGCTGCTTTTCCATCACTTGATGCTGACACAACAAAGTCTTGGCTGAGTTTGGTCTGAAAAGCAACCAGGGTTAGCATGACTTTCAGCTGATTTTACTTCTTATTAGTGCAAGTATTTTATTGACTTTGTTGTAACCTGATATGAGCTAGAGGTGGAATAGATTTCCAAATATAAAAAGACTCACTCAAATATTTGTATGAAGAAATGACAGTATATTAGGAAGGTATCAACAAAATCAAATCATAAAGAAAACTCCTTTCCTTCTACTTTCTGAAGACACAATGGATGTAAAATTAACCAAATTATTGTGTGCCAATCTTAGCAATTTCTATATTGATATACATTCATAGTGACAAAGGATTCCAGATGTTTAGGGATTGTATCCAAAGTGTTTTATTACTTTTAGTACTATCTTTGCCACAGTTGTTCTATTTTCTATTTCTGTTTGCAGGTGTTTATATTTTGTGATTTTCTTCAGTCCTTTCCCTTCTTTTCTGCTGTCTCCAGGTGCTACCATATCCACTATCAAGACTTTTTTTATTTTCAAAAATGGTTAAATCTGGAGTATTATTATACTCTTATCCCTTTTATAGTGTAAATAACTCAAGGCATTGAACATATCTAAGTATCCTGCCTCCTTTTTTCTCCACAATAACCACCCTGTGTAGTGGGTTGAGCTGAGCGAGAATGACTGGTGTAAAATCATCCAGCCAGCTTCCCTGTCTAAAACAGGATTCAAAATCACAATCTCTTGGTTCCAAGCCAGCACCTTCACCATTACATCTAATTGTCTCTCAATATATTGTATATAATTAAAATGTACTTAAGTCCTTGGAGAACTACTATGAACCTAAATCTGTTCCTTGTTTTAAACAATTTTATTTTATTCAAAAGATTAAAATCCAAAATAAAGTAACAGAGACAGAACAAAACTAAATAAAAACATTGAGAAATGTTAATTAAAAAAGGAAAAATACAGACGTTATCTTCCCTAGTTGAATACTCAGAATTCTTTTGCAACAATAATAGCTTCCCTCTTGCAAAGTAGGTCCAAAATTTATTTGCAACCCAATTGATCTGTCATACATTACATATGTGAAAGAAAAATTGTTAATGGATTAAAGTAAAATTCAAAGCTGTTAGTTGTCTGTTATTGTAATTTTTCTCAGCACAAACCATTCTCTTCTATGGGCGTTTTGTGCCAAAAAAGCTTACAGATAACTGAAGAGAAACCTGTAGTTATTTTCAAGTTACCAGTTAGTCAAGTCCTAAAGTAGCTATTTGATGCCTTGTTCTACCAGCTGAGTGGGGATCATTGCATCTCAGTATGAAATTGACATTGCCTTCATGAAATCATCTTTGAAGGCTAAGCATTCTATCATTTTTATTCCCCTTACTAGAAAATGAAATAGAATCAGTGGTAGATTTACTATTACTATTAGTGCTGTTACATATTCAAAACCAACCTAATGCACAGGCAATAATCCTTACAACATGCCCAGCAAATGGTTGTCCAACTTTTGCTTGCAAGCCTCCTGATGGACCATTATGTCCATTGCTTAATAGCTCTCACAATCAGAAAAGTCCTCCTTATTCTTTTTTTGGAGGTTCCTCTCTATAAAACTTCCATTCACTGTTTCTTATCTTATCCTATTCTCCTATGGAGAATAAATCCATAGCCTCTTCCCTGTGACAGCATTTCAAATATTAAAAGACTGCTATAGTGTCTTGACTTTGCCTTCTCTTCTTTAGGCAAAACATGCAACAATTCAGACTATTATTTTGTTTTAAGCAGCCTAAAGTAGAATAGAGCTCAGAAGATTAGACTCTGACAATAAAGCAAAGACTCACTTGGGTTTGTCCAAATGTTCCCCTGTAAAAATTCTGATCTGTCAGCCATCTGACTATGGGACCAGTTTGATCAAATTTCTTCATTTTCAGCATTCTCCCATTCTTCAAGAAAGCAGATGCTATGTGTGAGTTGTTGGGTGGGGTTACTCAATGGCACGGAGTTGCTGATGATACCCAGTCATGGTCAGCATTCCAGGTAGACCAGATGAAGAATCAACTTAATAGATCCCTACTGTGATACTGCCATTCATGTGGTGAGGGAACCCCAGATTCTTTTAGTCATTTATTATTGCTCTCATCCTATTTCCTATGTATCCTGTCATTTTCCTAGTTTATAACTTTTACCCTGTCACCTATTCTGCCCTGTGCTTTGATTTAACTTGAAGAATGTACAAGAGGGGAGGGGCATCTGTTTTCTCTCAGTTCAGAATCCTCACAGAAGAAGCACATTGGAATGACTCCTTATCTCTTTCTCAGGACGACCATTTCCATAACATCTTCGCACTTGTGGATTGGTTCATTCAACATCAGACTGAGGGGAGGTGTTTCTAACCACTTTATCCTAACGGAATTGCCTGGGGGGAGCTTAGACTTTGCTTTGCATTGTCCTGCATTCACTTCCTTTCAATAAAGGTTTCCTTTTTGAAATGCTAAAGTTTCAAGAGATTATGCTTTCTTGAACAGGAAGGAGAGGCAGGACCTTACACTAAGATTTCTTATACCGATATTGCCATATCTCCATCAAGGTCACCCTGCTGATTCTATATAGTTAGTCTATCTCTTTATCTCCACCCCTGGATGGGGAGGTGCAGGGGTGGGATCTGACAGGGTTAACTACCAGTTCAGTCATTTACGAGGTTTGGTGATTTATGATGTGCTTCCCTGCATGCTGCCAGCGTGCGCCTGTAAATCATCATCAGCATGCTGTGTGCAGAGAAGCAGCCTTTCAAAAAGCCCTTTTTTCCTGCTTTTTTAGCTGCAGCTGTGTCTCACAGGGCAGCTGAAGTTGAAAAAAAATCAGGAAATAAAGGTCAGGTAAGAACCTGGGTGGGCAGGTGGGCAAAAACATCAGACTACCAGTTCTACAGAGGTGGACAGAACCGGTAGAAACCCACCCCTGGGTAGGTGGTGCTGTTCTGGTACTGACTTAGTGTTTGGGGCAGAGATGGTAATCAGCAGATTCTGACCAGTTCTGGAGAACCGGTAGTGGAAATTTTGAGTAGTTCAGAGAACCGGCAAACATGCCCACAGAATCAGTAGTAAAAAAATTTGATTCCCACCACTGGCTTGGGGGCTGTGAGTGTCTAGATGGAGAAGAATTGGTTTCTGTTTCTCCTAGGTCTATTAATTCTATCTCTGACTCTCAGTGGGGTAGCACTTTCCAGAACAGAAACTGTGTGCAATTTAGAAGGCCATCTTCAATATGTAGCACCTGCTTGAAGAGCAAGTGGCAGTTGTGACTAGAGGGGCCTTTGCATAGATCCATCTTGTACAGCAATTGTGCCCATTCCTGGATTGGGAGGCCTTGCTCATGGTCACTCCAGCCTAGGTCACTTCCCAGCTGGACTAACTCAATGTGCTCTATCCTTGAAGGTCACTCAAAAGTTACAACTGCTCCAGAATTCAGTGGTGTTGCAGTTTCAGGTGCCTCTTGCTTTGTCCATACCACATTATTTGTCATGTGAATTGCACTGGGTCCATTTTCTTTCTGTATGCAATACAAAGTGATGGTTATCACATTTAAAACATACATGGCACATGGCCAAGTTATTTGGAGGACTGCCTCCCCTTGAGAGTATCTGGCTGAGCGTAACTACCATTCCACCAGATTGAATAGGGTTAATAACTCAAAAAGCATTGGAAAATCTGAAAACTATGATCATAAAAGCCCAGTCCAGCACAGTATCATTGAAAAAGAAAAAGAAAAAAATCCAAGAAGAAATAGCATGACTGCACAAAGATCTCTCTGACAAATTGAAAGACAAAAAGGACAAGTACAAAAAAATGGAAAGAGGGACACACAACTAAGGCAGAATATCGCAGATTGGCCAAATCTGCAAAGATGAAGTCAGGAAAGCAAAGGCTCAGAATGAACAAAGACTTGCAACAAAAGTCAAAGATAATTTTAAAGAAAGTTTATTTCAACATATAAATAACAAGAAAAAAGTCAAGAAAAAGTTGATCCAATAAAGAGAGAAGATGGCAAGGAAATAACAGGCAGCAGAGAGAAAGCAGAGCTGCTTAACTCATTCTTTGCATCAGTCTTTACACAAAAGACTAGAAATAAAAATTAAAATAAGCAAGAAAATGGTAAGAAAACAGCTACCTGACCTTGATGAATATAAATTACTGGGACCTGATTGATTACATCCCATAGCTCTGAAGACACTATCTCAGAACCATTATACTGTATTTTTTTAAAAAATCCTGGAACACAGGGGAACTATGTCTTTAAAAAAAAATGAGTGGGGGAAACAGACCTAGGAAGATACAGAGCAATCAGCCTAACGTCAATACCTGAGAAGATACTGAAAAAAATAATTAAAAAAATTTGGTTTGTTAAAAACAAATAATCGCCATCCAATCTTATTTCATTCTTTGACAAAGTGACTAAATTAGAAGACCAGAAAAATGCTTTAATTAATAGGCCAGCAAAATAATACACCTGGACTTCAGCAAGGCATTTAACAAAGTAGATGACAATCTACTTCTTGATAAACTAGCAAATTGTGGGAGAGATGGCAATACAACCAGATGGATTTGTAACTGGGTGCAATATCTAAAAATCTGCCCATCAGTATTCCTAGCTAATCCTTCATTCTGCTTCTTAGTAGAATCATCTGTTTTCAAAACCCAACCACATCTGATTTCTTCTATTTAAAACAAAGTGATATATGTACCTGTTGATGCTGCCATGGGTACCCTGTCATCATTGAGTCATCCTGCAGCAGCCAAAGCATAGGTTGTGAGGGCCGTAGTGTAAGGCCTTTGCAGTTTCTCATACTTTTTGAGTAAATAATTTGTGGCCTTCTTGATGCTGCTGTCTAGACTCTGGAAGTGAGGGGAGAGGGAAGAGAAGAGATCCATTAGGAATGTTTTAGGCATCTCTATGGAAAAGCATTTCCCTGAGATATGATACCCTGAGGTATCAAAAGGCCTTAAAACATGGTTTTGTCATTGGGCCTGGGGACCACAAATGGAGATGGAGCAGATCAAGTGGCCTGATTTGATTTGGGGGGGGTGGCTTATGGGTTTGTTATGTGGTGGATTTTTGAATGTTGTAAGCTGCCCAGAGTCAACAATTTGTGAGGTGGACAGCCATATACATCCGTCCAATAAATAATTGAAAAAACGTGATTCAGAAGTTGTGGGTGCTCCAACAATGGAAGTTTTAAAGAAGAGATGGGACAATCATTTGTCTGAAACGGTGTGGGGTTTCCTGCTTGAGAGGGAGTTGGACTAGAAGATCTCCCTTCCCAACTCTGTTCTTCTGCTAATTAATAAATAATTTTTAAAAATGTGCTGCCCAATTCCTGTCAGTATGTTTTACATGTTAATACTGCAAATGTAACCATAATATGTGTTATTTTAAATGCTATTGCTATTTTAAGGTTAAATGCAGGAAGAAATGCTATGGATAAATTTATTAGGAATGCCTTAAATAGGAGTTCCAGCAGAGAAGTTCTGAAAAACCTGCAATACTGTGAGATCCACCTGCACAGATCTTTCTAAATCTGCCTTTGAGGAACGCTGGTGAAAAATTATACTGAAGCAGTGAAAAGCTCTTTGATATTTAAAGGTCATTAACTAGTCTAAATATCTTGCTGGCTTAAAAGTATATGTGCAATTTCCTAATAATATCCTTATTGAATTGATTATTTATTTTGGTTTCATTTGATTTGAAATGAATAAAGTATAAACTACAGCAATGCTGTTTAGGCTACTTTGAAATACTAAAAGCTTTTAATACTGAACCTGGGGTCAAGAAGGTGGGAAAATGGAATACTATGATAAAAAAAAAATACTATGTGGAGAGATGTAATCTTATTTTGGCCCCCTCATACCATTTCCCATCACAACATCACGTACATTGACATAGTCATTGCAGATTGTTTTGGATTCCAACAATGCAACCAGAATGAACGCTGTTAAAGATACTTCTGGTTCAGCACCTTGAATTCCTCCCTAGAAGGAAATGGGGGATGGGGGATGGGGGGGACAGGGGAGAGAGATAAAATATAATTTAAAAAACAAAAACAATGCTAATGAAGAAAAGCTATGTAATACATAGCCAGTACATGGAGTAGGAAAAAGTTAAGGTTTTTTTATATGTCTTGGCTGCCATCTAGTGGCCATCCATATTTGTCCATCTTGAAGATGCAGTGTTGAAGGGTTGGAGTTTGAAGAACCATTTAACTTTGGTTATATGAGAGCTATAACCTATCCTAAGAATATTACATGAGGAGAGAAAATAAGAACAAGGGAATTGAATTTTCTGCTAGACAGTCTATAAAAGAACAAGAAATAGTTCTTTTATTTAATGTTTTAATTATTTGCTTTAAGCAAGACATGGCCTAGCTCTAGACAATATCAAGGAGTGTCATATTCTGACACTCCCCTGTGCAGGCCAACATGCCCTATATTGCCTGTGTACAGCATCTTCAAGTAGGATATTTAGGAAGACCAATGTTATCTCAACTACAGAGAGGCTACATTGCAGATGGAAGCATGAAGATAAGTACTCAGGAAGTGTTGAATGGACCATCTTGTACCAGGGCATGGAGGCTGTACAGATTTGCCCCTAAATTTCTTCAGTAGAACCTCATCTGCTATTGTTCATATGTTGCTTCTTCTCCACTACAGGCTTTCTTGTCTTTGAAGCAGATTCCATCTTCAAGTTCCTCCATCAGATCTATTCTCTCATTAAGTCAAATCTTACCAAGGCTACCCTTATTGTCCTTTGTTTCTCTCCTACTGGTGATATCCCAATCCCATTTTTAAAAAATATATATGTACACATTTGACTGATTGTTACATAATCTATGAAAAGCTACAAAACTTTTGTAGTTTTGCTTATTACCTAGTGCTATAAATGGTTTTTATTATAGAGATATAATAATAGATATCATAATTCACCCTCATGTCCTGTCTGAATTCCTGTACAGCTCTTGACTGGCCAAGATTATTAGAGAAGAAGCTAGAACTTTGTACAGTGCAATTTTTTCTTTAATACCTGGGCTTGGATTGTTTGCAGTTAAGAACTTTTTAAAAAGGAAGGAGGGAGGGGGAAGAGAGAGTGGAAGGGAGGAAAGAAGGAAGGAAGGAAGGAAGGAAGGAAGGAAGGAAGGAAGGAAGGAAGGAAGGAGACTCTTACCAGCATTTCTCCATGGATCACAGGGGCATTTTCTCTGAACACTCCATCTGGTTGTTGTCTGTTCAGAATCAGCCACCTCACACCTCCACAAATGATTTCATGGCTAATGTCTTTTACCATTTTGGCAGCTATGGCAAAGACTTTTACAACATATGCTGTTAGCCTATAAAGAAAGTAATGCATTAACAAACCACATTTCAATGAAGATCTTAATACAAGTAGTAGAATACAAGTAGTTGCTTGCTTGATTTTGTAAGCCAAATATGGCTAGTTTGCTGCTAGCTAGGAGGGAGAGGGGAAAAGAGGCTTGTGCAGAGTCACCATACCACTACATAATGGCACAACAAGAGTAGAAGCTGTGCATGAGTCTAGGGCAGTGTTGGCAAATATTTTAGAGACCGAGTGCTCAAACTGCAACCCAAAACCCACTTAATTATTGCAAAGTGCCAACACTGCAGTTTAACCTGAATAATGAGGTTTACTACCTAAAATAACAATAAACAAAGCAGAGTTCAGCCTCCCTCTCTTTTTCTCTCTCTGTCTCTTTCCCCCTCTCTCTTCCCCTCCCTCTCTCTCTCTCTCTGTCTCTATCCCCCTCTTTCTTCCCCCTCTTCCCCCCCTCTCTGTTTCTCTCTTTCTCTTTCCCTCCCTTTCTCTCTCTTTCCCTCACCTCCCTCTCCCCCGCCTCTCTCTTTCCTCTGGGGCAGCAGCCAGACCATTGGAGGCAGCAATAGCAAATGAACCACGACAAAGGTGGAATGTTGTTTCGCACAAAGGCAAGTGCAGGGGCGCTCCGCTCCCACACCAAGGCTCCAGCCATTGCCACCGCTGTGAAAGGGCAACAGCTGCCACGAGTCCCTGCAAATGACGGTGAGAAACGTGACGGAGTTGGGATGGGGTGACAGCGTGTGTGCCCACAGAGAGGACTCTGAGTCCTACCTCTGGCATGTGTGCCATAGGTTCACCACCATTGCTCTAGGACAATGTTATTGTTATGATGGGAAATAATCAAGATTAAAATTGGTCATCCTCATTTCTCCTTCAACCATGGAAAGGAAAAGAAATTCAGCTAACCAAGGACTCAAGGCCATATCAAGAGATATAGGGTATTAAATCAGTTTAAGAGGAATCACAATGTTGTTATAACACAACAGTTCACTTCACAGAAACAAGAGCTTTAGAAGAAATGCAGGGTAAGAGTTAAGAGAATGAGATTTCCTTAATTCAGTGCTTGTGTCAGGTCCATTCTGTTGGAAGGCGGGGCAGGGGCAAGTGGGGGTGGGTGGGGCTTGCTGGTATTTTTGCATCTTTTTGCTTTTGCTATAACTTTTTGGAAATTGGAGAGGGGGATTGTCTTTGGAATCAGAGTGAACTCCCTCCCAGCTAGTTCCAGCCATGTTTCAAGGCCATTGTGCCTTGAACTGTTGTCTGCCTAGCATCTCAATATTCTGAAAACAACCTTGCAGCATCACATTGGCTGCCAGTGGACTGGACAGGGGGGCTGGGTTTGGGGAAACAGAAAAATAGCTTTGTGTTTCATGCAGGAGTTTTCAGATTCCGTCTGACTTTACTGCAGCCACGTTCTCTCAGCAAGTTCTTTTGAGTCTAGACGTAGGTGGGCCAAAACCTCCCTATTGTTCGAGTTGAGGTGGAGATGTTCAGTGTGTGGGTGTCTCAGGAATTGGTGTCTTCTTGCTCCCTGATATTATGAAACAAGGATCAAGTAATCTGGTATTATACCCTGTTCTATCAAATGATGTCACTCAATGATTTTATCCAAAAAGGAACTGGAGGCTGTAAGGATCTAGATGAGGAGGAACATCTCCACCTCAACTAGAACAATAGGGAGGTTTTGGCCCACCTATGTCTGGAGAGGACTTGTCATTTATATTTGCCCGCAGGGCAGACAAAACCTCACCTTCTCCAAATGTTGCTGTCTATTGTTGGGGAAGAGAAGAAAGGCCAAGCCTTTTCCAACAATCCCCACTTCTATAACCCCCAGATAAGCAGAAGATTGGGCTGCGGGGTTGGGTGGGTGGGGAGCCCTTAGGACCTGGGATCTAAGCACATCATGGACTGGATCCGGCCTGTGGGCCTTAAGGTTGACACCCCTGCTCTATATGGGTTAGTAATAGTCAGTGAAACGGAGTTCTTTCAGAGGGTAGATCACCACTGAAGTAGGATAATTATCTATTCAGAGAGCCACTTTGGTATAGTGCAGAAGGTGCTGGCCTAGAAAATAGGAGATCATGCACTCTAGGCCTCCCTTAGACATAAAAGTCAGTTGGGTGACTTTGGGCTAGTCAAGCTCTCTCAGCTCAATTCATCTCATGGGGCCGCTGTTGTGGGGGAAAATAAATGGCAGGAGTATTAAGTTTGTTCACTGCTTTGAGTTGACCCCCCAAAAATCTAGTAATAATAACAGCAATAACAATTCAATTTCAGGGAATCAATATTTCAAGTGTTTTCACTATCTTGAAGCAGGACATTCTGATTCGTATTTTAAGGGGAAAAACAATACAAGTCATTGATACTAAATGCTAGACATGAGAAGACAAGAGGGTGACATATATGGGTAAGCCATTATCAGAAAAGAGTATTTTGTCAAGGACTGAAGCACAGCCTTATCTTATTCTGGCTTCTTCCTACCCTGGTTTAAAGCCCCGTTCAGCTGTCAAAAATGTTTTCACTTTTTTTCTTTTCCCTTTATAAATCCACCGCTTTCTTATTCTTTCATAAAAATTCTTAAAATATCCGTCCTGGGGTACCTTTTAATTAATTGTTGCGCCAAGTTGTCCCGGTTCTTATGTTGTCCACCTCTTTCTTGTCTCCTGTGCAAATCTTAGTCCAACTAAGTCCTCTTCTTCAGGGTGGCCATTTTAGACCACTGCTCGGTTGTCTTTGGGGGGGAAAATTGCCAAGCCCAGGGAAGGGGAATGCGGCTCCCCTCAACCTGGCTGGTGGCTTCCCCTTACTCTGCCACCCCTCCGAGGCAGCTTCAGCCCCAATCACAATGATAGGGGCTCTCCAATGAGAGAGAGCACAGACCGAAGCTGTGGACAGTCGCAGTCCCCAGTCCATCAATGAGGAGGACTTAACCCGGAAGTCTTGTTTTTCTTTTTCATGGTACTGTAAGGTCTTACCTTTCCAATCTTCCCAAGAAAGCAGGACTCTTGAAACTGAAGTTTGTTCCAGAAGGAGCTTTTATTGAAAGGCTTCTGATAGCAAAAGGTCTAGGCAGCACTAAATTTTCCCATTTAAAAAAAGCAATTTAAAGCAGTGCAAACAAAACCCCTCCCACAGCAATGCAGTGAATAGGAACAGAAACTCATAGCACAGCAATGCAGGAAACAGAAACTTCATATAGAGATCTCTCCAATCCTTCCCCTCCCCCTAAAATGCCAGCATCACAAGAGAAATATAGCGGATCTGATAGGTACTGTGCTGGTCTGGGCTTTTAGGATCATATTTTTCAAAGTTTCCCAAGCTTCTTGAGTTGTTTTACTTTTAGGATTTTCATCCAAGGAATCTTTCCCAAGTTCTTTCTGAGTTTATTACAATCAGTTCTTTTAAAATCTAAGACTCTTGTATCATGATGTTCTATTGCTTGTGTTTGTGTGATGTTGAATTCTAGTATGAATTCATAGTCACTCTCACCCAAGGTTCCTGCAGTTTCAACTCCCTCTATCATTACTTCTCTGTTCCTGAGAATTAAGTCCATTATGGCTGTCCCTCTAGTTCCATCCTCTACCTTTTGGACAATAAAGTTGTCACATAGGTTGGTCAGGAACAGAGGTGGTATTCAACCAGTTTTCACCAGCTTGGGCAAACCGGTAGTGGTGATTTGGCATGGGTCGCCGAACCAGTGGTGACTCCTGGCTGCCCACACCCCCGAACTCGGTCGCCTGGTTGCCCGGTCACCTGCTTGTCCCGGTCACTCTCCTAGCTTTACCCTACCACGTGGTGGCCATGGCACAGCTTGGGCAGATGTCCCAGAGTTGCTGCACATGTGCACTGCATGTGCAGCCGCTACACATGCAGTGCGAATGTGCAACAGCCCCGGGACATCTGCCTGCCTGGCCTCCCTCCCGGAGCAAATTTTCTTCCTTCTCCCAGTGGGCGTGCCTCTTCCAGCCCAGCCTGACCTGGCCCGGCCCAGCCAGCCAGCAGGTGGGTGGGCGGATGTCCCAGGGCTTCTCGCCCCCTTGTCGCGATATGCCTGCAGCAGCCCCTCAGGCCGGCTGAGCCCAGAGCCGCCATTCCCAGGCTTCTACTCACCCGTGCTTGGTCGCCGCCTCTTCACCTTGCCTGAAGCAGCTGGTCCTGCCCCTCACCCTTCCCTCCCTCGCCTGGCCTGAGAAGGTAAGGGTGATGGCAAGGGATAGCAAAGCGGCCAGGTCCCTATCTTCCCTTCTCTCTCCCTCACTCTGTCTCTCTGTCTCTATCTCTGTCTCTATCTCTATCTCTGTCTCTCTCTGTCTCTCTATCTCTCTGTCTCTCTGTCTCTCCCTCCCACAAAGCTGTGGCTGGGCTTTCCTTGGTGCTCTTTGCTACTTTCATTTCTTCTTTTTGGAATCTAGACTGGCTGAACAAGGATCGCCAGCCGCGCTGAAAGCATCCTTTCAGGTGACCCTGAATCCCCTCGCATGTGCACGCCACCCTCCTGGACCCGCCATGACTGCCGGTCGCGAAAGGAGGAGGAGAAGGGTCCCAAAGAGACTGGCTGAAGAAGGATCGCCAGCCACGCTGGAAGTGTCCCTTCAGGTGACCCTTCTCCCCCTCCCCCTCCTCTCACGATTGGC